TCTCAAATAATAAGCATCCTCTATTGTACGTGGAACAAAGTTAATCCTTCCAATAGCAAATCCTCTATCTCTGATCACAAATTTTTTTTCTTTGCTGTTCCAAGTGAAGTGATTTGGAACTTCTTCAAATAAGAGCTTGGTTGGATCAGGAGCAGCCTTTGGCAGTTTTTTCGCATTAGCACGGACTTTTCTACTTGGAGGATTCTTGTTAAGCTGAAACCACGCCAAAAATTGAGTAGCTTCACTGCTTAATCGACTCATAACACTCTCTTTGGTTTCACCTGGTTTGTAAAAGACTGGTTGTTTTCCTTCTTCATGAAAGTAAAGTTTAACAACTGGTGTTGTTCGATGATGTATGGGAAATTTGAAAATTCTCCATATAGCTTCACAAGCAGATACGTACCTGTTCAAATTGTAATAAGAAACTGCCATTAACAAAGTGATGTATAATCACAATCAGACTATATATATACAACTAATTAAAGTATTAATGAAAAAACCTGCAATCAAAGTAATCCTGGACTTCGTCCTTATCCTTCTTAGCAGCAGCCGGGTCACTTGGCTCAACAGTAACTGTGACACGGTCATGTCCTTTATGAACATACTTAAACAGATACTTTATTGACCCTGATTGGTTGCACCACTCAACATTGATATGAGCATGATAACGAAGGGATAGCTTCTCATTATATGGGATTACGTAACGATTATCGCATTGAAAACCATTCTTCTCGACATAAGTACCAGTGTTACGTCTTCTGTAAACTGGAAAGCCATCATTATCAACCCTACTAATGTTGGAATAGTCTTTGGGGAAAAACTTAGAGCATTGTCCATTCACCATACATGGTGAATTCGGATGACCAGCACCACATGGTCCATGAATCATACAATCTTTAACCACTTGGTAAAGTTCTGGTTTCTTTTTCTTATCTGGAATCTCAGCACATATCACTTTATCAATGTCTTCGGCGGTAGACAACTTACTGGTGGGATGCATGAACAACAAAATGTGTGCATGCGGAAGACCTCTTTTCTGAAACTCAATTGTGTACATTGCTGAAAAATACAGAACATAAAAAAGATTAGAGGTAAATTCAAACACAGATACTAATAATATAAATAACAGCTACAGCTTTAAAAAATACCTGAAGCTGTTTTTCCTAGTAGACTCTTGGTGGTTAGATCATACATAAGATTATCAAGCTTCATCTTGAAAATCCTACATATGATATCTGGTCTATCATCAGACTTCAGGTTCCTCTCTTTACAGAATCTAACAATTTCAGGCCACTTTGGATTGCAAGTAAACGTTATGAATAGTGATGGAAATCCAAAGTGTTTGCAAATAGCCATTGCATCCAAATAATTGTTTGTCATGTACCTTGGTCCGCCAGTAAAGGAAGCTGGAATCTTCAATTCTCTACCTTGGTTTTGCAAATCATCGTTTCCAGCATTTGAATTCCTTTGGATTGAATCTAAGTTAGAGCTCCGAAAATTGGCTTGATTCTTCCTAATATATCTCAGCCTGTTTGACTCAATCATAGTGTAAGCGTCAACAATGAACTGCTGAAGCAAGCGCTTAGAACGAAACAAAACATGTTTCTCCTGTTTCCTTTCTTGAAGACGATAAGCAAACCACTGCCTCATACTTACTTCTTTCTGTTCCTTTTGAGCATTCCCTTTGCTGTTGGTCTTAGCTTTCAGTATACCAACTCTAAAACCATCTTCCCCGTGTGGAAATAATAGAGGATATTGTAGGGCTAGATAGGAAACATGCAGTTCACTTATTCTTTTTAGCTTCCCTGAACTTTTCTTCTGTAAAACGATATCACGTTTATCCATATTTTCATGAAAATCTCCTGGAATTAATGCTGCAACTTCAGATGCTGTTGGCAGATTGTATGTCCTTCCATCATCCTTTCTCTTGGCAATAATTCTCATGTGAAAAGTGTCTTCTGAATCTGTATTGAACCTGTCTCTTGCTGATCTAAACGCTTCAACATGAGGGTTTATATCATCTAAAAGCTTGATGATACTTTCAATGATGTCTTTGTTCAGATTTTTCTTTTTCTGGCCCGTGGCAGATTCACCCTCTTTACTGAAAAATATGTAAACTTATTAGATTATAGAAAAACTCAATATTATGTTTCTAATAAAAAGAGATTAACAGAGAAGATACCTCATAATGTTATATCTATTGTCAATCTCATTTTCAGTATCAACAATATACAGCTGTTGAAACTTTGCTTTGTTTCCTGGTTTTGGCTTCATATCACCCATGAGATGGTAATTTTCACCTTGTATTGCAAACATCTGAGGCCCACGACCTTTAGGAACACAATGATCCACTTTCCCACCGATAGAAGTAAATGAGAAAATCATATTGTAAGCTCTGATGTTTTCCCTAAAATGTCTAGCGATTTCATCATTACTGGTTAGCAAATACCACAACAATTCAGGCGAGTCCTTTAGGAAAGGTAAGACTATCTGTCCTTGCATACAACACCCTGAGAACTTTGGATTTTTTGTTTTCCTCCTCTTGTTTAGGCGTTCGCCATACCAAAAAATAGCACCACACTCGCTACAACTAAAGATTGGATCACCTTCATCAACATAAGCTGAATAAAAAATAATCAAATATAGTTAGATCTTACTATAGTAATTCTATTTGTTATTCAACAATATATTACAAAAATTGGAATAATACCATTTTTTTGCTTAGGTGGAATGACAGGCGTTTCCTTAGGTTTACCAAAAGCATTTTCTAACATAGTAAGTATGTCAAAACGTTCTTTAGCTCGATGAATTGCTTCTTTCGGGTTATAAGCACATTCTTTAGCATAGTCATCTTCATCTGATGAAGAATCCGTAGATAATTCTTCTTGACTGCTGCAATATAAATCTTCTTGGTAGTTGTCTTCATATTCTCCTGTTATTATTTGGACATTAGAAATAACAATATCTGCTTGAGTATGATATTTTAAAAATTGCTCTGACCTTCTGTGGAGTCTTGATAATCTGAGAAATGATCATCTTCATCTGTATCTGTATTGAGATCATTATCCTCCATATAATCATGATGAGAATCAAGGAAATCATCAGTAACAGAATCCTTTTGTAATGTTAACACGGATCCTGAAGGATTATCTGATACAAATTTTATGATAAAATATGGATAGTTAGTCTGAACAAATAGCAACATGGATTTGTTATATATGAAATCTGGATCCATTATTGTGATCCTCCAAAAAAATGCATTCTAACATGAAAATTTACCTTTGTTTCTGTGATTTGCCGCAGAAGCTCCGGAAATATCATCATTTTGCGAATAAGAAGATTCAGCAAGATATGAGGAGTCATCGATTATTGTTGAGGTTAGCTGAGATTTATTAAATAGACTTCCTGACACTTTGAATAAGATTTATCGTGTTAGCTTAATTTGAATCATTAAAATATTACATATAATATCTTTAGACTGTCATACAACAGTGAAGAATATGACTTACATGGAATAGGGGAGAGATTTCTTGCTTTTTTATAAGAAGGAGCTTGATATGGAGTGTTTGAAACATTTTCCTGGCCTCTTGCAGTGGAACATGAAAAAGTTCTTTGGTCAGATGCTGATAGTCCAGAGCTATTGCGTGGTGAGTTAGATATATCTGTTAAAACTCTTCTAAATACAGAGTTGATTGCAACAGCAGTTTTGGTATGGCTTTCTGCTGAAGGTGGAACGTAATTTTCACCAAGTACATTAGATGTTGGTCTTTTTCTTTTAGGAGTTGGAGTGACTTCAGGAGAACTTAGACCATTTGCAGTATCATCATTTTCCATTATGAGTTGGTTTCCTGTTGAACAGAAAAGGTTTTTGTTCTAAACATGATTAGTTTGCAAACCAATTTTGCAATTATAAAACTATGTGTGGAATAATTGTTAGTAGTTACATAAAGGACAGACATAGAATATTTAGCTTAGCTCTATGAGAGGCTATCCAAATATTAATACCTTGGGATGTAATGGCTTTCTAGATACTCTGTAGAGTATTTCCTATGACATTCCTTCAGAACTAAAAAAATTTGAAGTGTTCAAGTGTTTTTGCAATTGAGCAGAAGAATGACTCTCGACCAACAATAATTATAAGCGACTCAAGGAAAAGTATATCCTCATTAGATTTCTCAAGATATTCCATAACACTTAATAAATTAAGTTGGTTGAGTAAGTTAATATTCTCTCTTATCTGTTATTAACTAAATCTATACTTTTTGATACACAGGATATTGGATGATAAGAAGAGCTATAACTGATTACATTAGGTATGTTCATCTCCTTAATGTAAAGGTATGTATAGTCTTGGAAGCCACGTTCAGTTTTGATTATTTTTCCTAAGCAGCAAATATTTTTTCACATAAACCTTTCAATTTAAGCAAAATAAAAGAAAAACAGATAAACATAAGAAAAGAAGTTAGAACATAAGAGTCTAATTTTACAAATAGGAAAATAGCACATTGCATAATAAAAGTTAACAAAACAAAGCCTTAAAAGAAAGTCCAAATTAGAATATAACATAGGAGGATTTTTCTTGATTTATAAATGGGCACGCCTTTAAATTTATAATCTGAATTAGCAAATTATATTGAGAACTTTTTGAAAATCTTACCAATGGTATACTCTGCATTTCCTAATCCTTGAGTGCTTTTCTTGTTTTGAAGATCATTTTTCCTTCAAAAATTGTATTTGTCCTACACTCCAATTTATTATGTTTGATTTTTAGAATCAATATTAAAGTTTGGTCTATAAATGGATTTATACCATAACATCCACTACATATAAAATAGCAAATTTTTTAAAAACGCATAATACAATAGATGTTTCTAAGAAGATGATCCAAAAAAAAAAATAAGTTTTAAGGTAATTCCACAAAGGAATAATTGTTGCAAATAAAGAAACAGTGATAGCTGCATTACATAGACTTATGAGATATGTTGGTATTGCTTTTATAAAGCAAATTCCTCCCTTTATTTCTGATCTAGAAGTTGGCCTCAACAACCTCCTCATTTAGTTCATCTTCTTCACAAATAGAGAATGCAGAGCTGTTAAAGAGATAATGTAAGATTAAGAATACTGTCAAAAGTGTAACTCTGTTATAAACTTTAAGTTTTCTACAACTTACATATAGTGATTATTGTCAAAGTCAGGATAATTAGGATCAATGAAAGTCTTAGAACAACCAACTTCTGTAAGCAAGCAAGGTTTACCTAAGGGGAATAAAAGTTTTATGTTAGATGTTATCATTCTGACATACATTGTTAATACTAAATATCAAACTGAGTCTTATAACATTACCTTCATATTCAGAAATCCTCCAAAAGCGCAAGGAAGCAATTATTTTCTCATAACTATATTCCACACGACTTATCCTTTTCTCCCACTGCAACAGAAAATCCTCACCAGCTTTGCCTAATGCAACACACTTCATAAACTTTCCCCTAAATGTTTTTTGAATATCAATAGCATTAGTCTAACATAGATATCGAAAAAAAGAGAGAAGCCTCATGAAGAATATCTCTATAGATAAAACAGAGCTGTCTGAGCTCTGTTTCAAACAACTGAACAATTTCTATCTAGCTTCAAGAAACGTATTGATCAGCAAGGTCTAGTATCAGCATTTATTAATTCAGCTGAAAATATGATATATTTAGATTTGGTATATCAATAGCAGTACTGTAACAAACTTTTAATCATTGCTATCAATCATGTTTTGGAAAACTATCTAAAAAATCATGTATGTAAAAACTCTTACAAAGTATCCTTGATGGTGAATGTTATGTATCTTGACTCGAAATCACATTCTCCACGTCTAGGCACCCATGGTAGAATTCCAACAGGCTCAACACTGTGAATCACTCCAATTGCATCTAAATATTAAACAAAATCAAGTTATATGATATTCGTTTAAAAGTCCTAAACAGTAAGTGATTATATATATACTTAATAATAATGCATTAACTCATAAGTAAATCATCTTTAATGAGGAAAAAAATAACTTACCAACAACAAAATCTTTATCCTCTGCCTTAGCACTATTGATCCTTGTAAAATCGTAATCGTTGAAGAAATTCCATCTGGATCTAGAACTAACACGGTCTATTGACGTTTTGCAGGTAAACTCAATTTCATATGGATGCTTTGAGTACCTCAAAATCCTTGTAGAAAGTACAACCTTAAAGTCTGATAAAAGGTACCAGTTTCCTTCTCTAATTCTTGTTCTGAATTTGTCATTGTATGCTCTGTTTGGAATTATAGCATCCATTCTTTTTCCCTAAAAAAAGAAAACTTGTTTGCTGACCATATATATATAAAAAACGAAATTATAGAATAAAAGGTTTTTGAATACCTTTTCATCGACTAAGATCATGGTTGTAATCTCATCTTCATACTTTGGAGGATGATTCCAGATGTTCAATATCTTAACATAAACCATCCATTTCATCTTCCTAAGCTTCAAATCAGAAAGGGAGTTAACCAAAACCATTTTTTTGTTTGAGAGGTTTTTTAAGGGTTTTGTTTTTTCGGTGCTTATGCAAAATGGAGAAGAATTAGGTTTATATGTATATATGGTTGTGTATAAATGAAAAATACAAAAACAATTTTGTTTTATATTTAATTTTTTAAAATGAAGCTAAAATTTTCGAAAATCAATTTGACCGTTGAGTGCAATCATGACAGAGTTATCTTCTGTGCTTGTTTTTTCGTTTTTCAAGATGATTGTGATTGGTTTTGTTTTTCAAAAGCTTTTGTTTTGCCAGAGTTGGTTCTGTTTTTGTTTATTTGTTTTTCAAGATGATAGTGTTTTGTTTAGTAAAGTTTTTTAACAGTGAATGATTAATTGGATAAAGAAATTTGCCTTATTGGTGTAGTATATTTTATGAATATGGGATATTAACCAAAAAAATATAAAATCTTTTTTTTGGTAACATTTCCAAATCATCATGGCAATGTAATTTATATTACAAAAAAGGGTAGAATAATATAAAACCACAAATAACTATAATGTTATAATGCAAGTAGTTAAATTGACTCAATAAGAGAATCTAAGTAACAGAATGTTATGTTGCAAGGATAATATTGTTTGGTCACATAGTTCCAAAAGAGTTCAATACGAAAATAAAACATAACAACTAAAATAGAAAAAAATGAATGAAACTAAAACATCCAGGGAAATGCTCCTCCATTTAGTTGTTCTCTTCAACCAATTCCATCATCAGATCATCTTCATTATCATCAGTGAAGCTACGACTGTGGAAAAACCAAAACCAATTTAGTGTATCACATATTAAATTGATAGTATATTGTATAATAAGTCTAAATTACACTTACATATATCCTGGAATATCTAAGTCATAGAAAGTTGGATTGAGGTACAAACGCGAACAACCAAATTCGCTGAGCAAGACATTTTTGCCTATAGCACAATTATAAAAGATACATTTTAGAAACATATTCTATTTGAAATACATAAGAGAGTATAATTAAAAGAATGGGACAAAGAGTTTGGAAAACTAACCATGATACTCTGTGATTCTCCAGTTGCGAAGTACAGCCACAATTGGTTCATTATTATATGTAATGGCGTCGACCTTATCAGACCACTTGGTGATAAAGAAATCACACATCTTACTAACAGCAATGCACTTGATTATACAACCCCTAAAAAATGTTCCATTAATAGAAGTCTGTAAATTCCATTTGCATATCATAGCTATTAGATCTTACAAATATGACAAAACTTAGAAATAGTAAAGCTTACATATTGTCCATGATCTTAAAAGCCACATATCTTGATTCATTGTCTGACTCTCCATGACGACAGACACCATGAAATCTTCGAACAGCGGAGACAGCAGAAATCACACCGATAGCATCTAAATTATAAAAATGAACAAAATTAACAAAATGTAATCAGTAAACTAATATCATGGAGTTGTAGAGAAATAAATTTAATAATTCTTACCAGTCACAACTTCTTTATTCGATTCCATAGCATACTGGACTTCAATAGGGAAAACAAAATCGAAAAAGTTACTCCATGATCTCTCTTTCACAGGCCACATTCCTGTTTCCGAAATAAACCTGATTTCAATTGGAGAGGATGTATATCTGATGCTTCTCCCGGGTTGGATAACCTGGAAATCAGACATGTGAAACCACTTTCCTTCTTTCAGCACTCGTTGAAAATTCCAAAAGTATGTCCCAGATGGAATCCTTGCCTCGATTCTTCTACACTACAGAATCAAAACATTAAAAATATGAGTTTTACATAAAATAAAAATAATTTAAATGCAAGGTAAAAGTAAACAGAAAGTGAAACAAAAGCTTGATACCTTTTCATCTACCAGAATCATGATTGTTTCAGAACCAGCAGAACCCAAATCATGTTCCCACATACACATGATCTTAACATAAATCCTCCAGGCCGTCGAGTTTACATGCAAATCAGATAAACTGTGAACAGACTCCATGGGATATACACGTTTGTTTCTTTGCATTGAATAGAGAAGAGTCGATGGTTTCTGTGGTGATTTTAGAAGAAAATATAGGTGTATATACGAATATGACTGAACAGATTCAAAGATATCAGTTTGAAAAAGATATGGAAATATGAATCGTTTGGATGTGTTATTTAGATATATTTCTTTTTTATTATTTTAAAATTCGAGGTAAATAATGATTAAGAATGATTCTTTTTTTCTAAAACAACTAAAAAACCAAGTATACAAATGATTGCTTATAATCACAGTTTCCATAAATGTAGGTGTTTCAAGATACTCAAAACTGAATCCGGATTCAAGATAAATTACCAGCAAGTTGTTGGAATATCTTGTTATGGATTTAGGATATAAATTTGACATTTTATTGTTATTAAGATTACAAAATTATATCAACAGATTTAGTAAGAATCTAAACTGAAATACAACTGATTCCAATGATATTGTATATTAATGAAATGTTTGTTGATTTGTTTATAGGATTATTCTGAAGCAGTTAAACTAATTGGATAAAGATCAGTCTGGACAAAGCGGTTAAAATAAGTAAGTCTCTTTAAAGTAATCCTACAAACTTTTATTGCATTTACAATGGTTTTAGGCTTATATATAGTATCTAAAGTATAAGAAATAAGTTTTCTCTTTTTTGTTAGATATATCGGAGAAAGAATATTTATTAGTCATGGTTTGTTCTCCAAGATCCCATTTGATATGGACATATGAAATTAGGCCATAATTAAGAGTTCTCTTATAAGCTTTGGCTTAAACAGTAATTCTAGAACATATAATGTTAGAAGGGTAGAGCAAATAATCAAATTAAGTACCACCAAATGATAAATCATGACTAATAAAACTCGTGGATAGAAATTGAAACTAAGGATTAAATGTTTGAAAAGATATTGTTTGAAAAACAAAAACCTAAAAAATAAGATAGAAATGTAAGAAAGATACTTAATAGAAAATAAAAATTCAATCCATCAGATAACTTTATTTAAGATCGTTGAGTATTCCCTCCCTCACTTTGCTCCCTTCTGACCTTCGATCTTCTCAACCTTAATCTTCTTCAAAAGAACTTTCTTCTGTTCTGCTTCACTGACTTTGGTGATGGCTTCTTGACCTGCCTCATCAAGTTTGTGTAGAAACTTAGGCTGATCATGTTCCTTCGGATTGTCTAAGTCAACGACACCATCGACATTAAGATCAGTAGGCTGATCAGTTTTCTTCGAATTGTCTACACCAATGACACCATTGTCTTTAGCATCAGATTGTTTTCCAGTGCATTGTTTCTTGCTTGTGGAGTTTTGATCAGATCCATCCGAACCATCTTCTTTTCTCTTTGATGATGGTGTAGACAGTGAAGTATTAATAGTCTCATCCTTATCAGAACTATTAGTGAGCATCAAAACCTAAAACAAAATGAATTTTTATTCAGGCGAGTAAGGAACAATAAAGATCATCATATCATATAAATCACACTGAAAATATGAAAATTTCTTACCTGGTCACTGGAACTCATGGATGAAAGATCCACAGGATAATCAACTTCAGCTTTAAGGTCAGCTTGATTGAGGTTCTGACTTGTTAAAACCTCATTCACTTTGTATTCATCATTTCCTCTTGAGATGTTGTCTTGCTCAATCAAGACTACGAACTGGTAAGTCTTTCCAATGATATTTTTAACTATATCAGGAACTGGGAGAGGGTCATCAAGTTCATGTATAAAGTATATATATTAGATTATAATTTAGCAAGAAAAGAATGGAGATAAATGCAAGTAACCACTAATTACAGCTTCATTAGTGCCCTCCAAGAGTTCAGTAGCAGGAGTTCCGATAATTTGCTCAACAAAACTATCAAACAACATAAGTTTGCTCTCCCCTGTGCTGTCCATAACGTCTAGGTGAAGCCAGTACCTTAGACAGATAAACAAATAATGAGAATAAATACTATTAATCAGGAAGTCATAATTTAAATTTAAGATAGTTTACAAAAACAATCACCTTGCTTCAACAGCAGAAACTTCTGCATTACATTTCTCACATCTGTAAAATAACTTCTTGGCACCAGAGCTAAGCAGTTTCTTACTTTGTACTACCTTTTTGTTACATTTGATGTGTGCATAATAGTACCAGGAGTAGTCCAAGTCAATTTGCAAAATGGTACAGAAGATTTTAACCTTCTCAACCTTGGAAAATAACAAAGGGTGAGTAAATATTTTATGGACTTCCGAATATAGTAAGAATATTGGCGATATTAAAGTTGTAGAAAATACCTCATAAGAAGCCTTAAGCTCAGCAATAGTCTTTAGAGGTAAACCGAAGGACCTCTGTTCACGCACCTTAAGAGGCTGGAATCTAGGCTTAGGTCCCATGATAGTCAAGGCAAGTCCATCAGATGGAAGCCTGAAACACCACAGACACGAAAAAAAATTCAGTCTAACACAAAAACAAAATTGTTTAAAAAGGAATGTAGAAGACTCACATTCTCCTAAAGTCTTCAACTTCCGTCAAAATTGGATTGATTAAAACGTCCGAAGCATCAAAAGCATTAGAAATACTCCTAATATCTGCAAGTCATAATGGTAAACAATGATAAATATATGATGATCAATTTTATATAGGGTCATGTAATTCATGAGTAATAACATCACATACCTTTCCATTCTCCTAACTTCGCCCACCTTACCAAAACTATAACGATAGAACCAAGAGATTCTTGCGCAACTTTGCTAATTTGGTCAGCAAACTTACCCCAGAGTGAGCATGGTAGACGGTTATCACTACACAAACGAATATTAAAGAATAAAAAAAATTAACAACAACAAAAACTTAATCCATTATAATAGAGTTGCGTTAAAAAAAAAGAAAATGCTTACTCAGTGTCTCTCAGCTGAAAATCAATCTTCTTGGTAGGCTTGCCTTGGACGTCAATTGTTTGCGCTTCTCCAACATTCACCAATTGACCAAGGACATCTACAACACAATCGTAGATGTAAAATCAGCAACTATAAATAACTATAATAGATAGGATACACAAACAAATAAGTATAAATAATACTCACCAACCAACTTGTTCTGATCCAAGTTACCAGCAAGAATAGTTGTAAAATCAACTAAATCAAGCCAAACCTCATTTGAAATAGATGGTGAGGGAGAGAAGACAGTAGAGTAGTGGAAATTTATTCTGTAGGGATGAATTGTTGATCGATATTGTCCCGTTGCTTTATTAACTGAGAAATCATCAATGATTTTCCAGTCTCCTTTCTTCACATAACGCTGGAATTTGCTGATGTGTTCCTTTTTGATGCCTGCTTGAATTTTGTTACCCTGTAATGGAAATAAGATGAGTTAAAACTTGCCTCACATATATTACAAAAAGCATTTTAAAAAGTTTCAATGTTTCTTACAGCCTCATCTGCTAAAATCATCTCTAATGACATGCCAGAACCCTTTGTAAAATGAATCCATGAATGAAGTATTCTAACTTGAATACACCAAGCTGTCTTGAAAGGCTTCAAGCTGTTCACTGGTGTGTATCGTGTAAGCTGAGTCATTTGTTGGTGTTTTTTTTTGCAGGTTATAAGAAAAGAGAAAGAGACGATTTTGGTTTGTATTATGCTAAAGGTAAGAGGCTTACTTATAGTTCTAGGTAGTCGATTAGGATAAAATAGATTTGAAAATATATTAGTTAATTTGTAAAAGGAATATCCTAGATATATTCTAGATTAGTAGAATATAGAATCGTAACATATTCAACAAAGAGATTTGCCAATATTTTTAAAGGATTTTTAGGAAACAAACCTAAACCATTTTATCTTAATATAACTATTTGTTGTTAACAAAGATTTTAAAGAAACTGAAAATATTCAGAAAGATCCCGTGCTGTAGTAATACACGAATTCGAATTTTAACTTTTGTTTTAGTATATATCGAATAATACCTTTTTAGAACTATATACATGAAAATAATAGTTTATTGATAAATTCGAATTATGTAACATTTTTTCAATGATATAACATTTTTAATTTTGAATCTTACATTTTGAATAACATTTTCATTTTCAAATAATGGATTAGTATATTTACGTTTCAATAACATTTTCGAACTATATGAGTAGTATAATTGAAAATAGGATTTTTTATAAATTTAATTGATATAAAATGTTTTCAATGATATATCATTTTCATTAACATTTTCAATAACATTTTTGTGTCACATTTTCGACTTATATATTAGTATACAACATTTTAACTAATTGTGTTACATTTTCGAATTGATTAGTATATAACAATTTCGAATTATATTAATTATGTAATATAGTTATTATCGAAAATATATAAATTATATAAATTATATAACATTTTTTTATATATAAATTATATAAATAAGATCTTTTAATATCTTTTAATTTCCGAATTATATGTATTATATAAACAAAATCTTTTAATATCTTTAAACCCGTTGACCCGTTGACCCGTTAATATATATTAGTGAAATAGAATAAAATGATTATAATTAGAGATCTCTAATGGCATATATTGTAATTTCTTACAAAATCTAAGTTATGGGCCTGATTGGTAACAGCTGTAGCTTTACATTTTTTGCTGTAGAAATATGACTGTAGGTTTATTTGCTGTGGCTGTAGATTTTAGTGCTGTAGTATTTTGGCTGTGGAATTTAAAATTTTGGAAAGTTGAAAATTATGTGCTTTAGGAAAAAAGGCTTTCTACAGCCAAAAAAATGAATTAAGGAAATATTTTGGCTGTGAGAAAAAAAAGGAAAGCCAAAGATTTTAAAGCTTGATTGGATGTATTTCAAATCTTTAGAAATTTTTTTGCTTTGTAAAGACTCTAAAGCACTTGCCAATCAGGCCCTATGACTCTTAGGATGTACTTCCCAAATATTAGTATAGGATTCTTTTATCAAATTCTTAAAATAAATGTTTATTAACAATGGTGATGATGATTAGTTTGCGGTTTCTCGTACCAATAGAGGAAAAGGAAAAATCTACAATGGAGCAACAATGACATCTAATATATATAATCCAAAAGTAAAATTTCCACAATTCAGTTCTACTCGTATACACATACAGATTGGAAACGATTTTATTCAAGCTGGTTGGACAGTATGTTTCTTATCGTATCTTATATTTGATTTAAGTTCCTTTAATGATACGAAAAATGCATGTTAATTAGATTCTTTACTTATTATTTTAAAGTTAATACATTTACGTCAATTTCATTACCATAAATATACTTACATTTTAGGTAAATCCAAAGTTGTATTCTGATAGCCAAACTCGGATTTTTGTGTATACTAAAGTAAGTTATTATTAATTATCATATTTTAAAAGTTTTTTACTATACTAGATATTTATAATGTACGCATAACCATATAAACAATGATACAGGTGGGTGAAAATCAATGCTATAATACCATGTCTCCAGTTGGGATCACAATGGTCCGTTCAGATTTTCCTCTTGGCTTAGTTGAAATTAGTAATGTTCGCGGTGCTTCACAAATTTCTTTTGAGACATTTGGCTTACTCAAGGTTTGGTAATCATTAGTTTTTTTTTAGATTATTAAACTTATTATATATATTATATTTATAGTTAAACAAGTTTTGTTTCAGAAAATTTTCAATAAATTAATTAGATAAAATAATCTAATATATATGAAAAATATAAAAATATACGTATTTAATAATTATTACCAACGTAAAAATAAATAAACGAAAAAAAGTACTTGAAGTTATATAGGTATTTAATAGAGTTTTAATTAATTAATAAATAATATAACATATTTCATCAATATCTACATAATATTTTTTTTTTTTTTTACTTTTGATGTGATTATTTATCAAAGGATAAAATAAATGGTAACTGGTGGCTTGAAGTTGCAAAAGAAAAAATTGGGTTTTGGCCAGCAAAACTATTTCAACAAACCTCGGCCAACAATGTCGAGTGGGGAGGAGAAGTATATAGTGCATCTATGCCGATTCCCCAAATGGGGTGTGGTTATATTCCAGTTGGACGCGTAAGATACGATTCCATTTTATGTAACATAACTTTAATTGATGAGAATTTTAATGTTGATGATCGGGTAAAGAATAGAGAGGCATTCTAGGATATTCGTGGTTATAAGGTAGTAAATGATATATTCAGATATACCGGTCAATAATATCGTATATTATGAAGGTCCTGGACATAACTGAAAAGATAAAATATTATTTTTATAAAAGTAATAAATAAATTCCATTGAAAAAACTTGTAATCAAACATCTTACATCAAATTTTCATCTTCCTTATTTCAATCCAAAACCATACTTCGAAATTGATTTCAAAAACTTCAAATAACTCAAATTATTTTGAAGGAGTTTTCACAAGGCTCTCTTCAAAGTCATAATAGTTTTTTCATACTAATTTTTGAAATAGTTGGAAAACTCCTTCAAAGCCATAATAGTTTTTCATTATAAACATTGGAAAAGAATTTTTGATTCATAATGATCCGTATTTAACACTTGAAAAGTTTTTCGGAAAAATGTATTTTTCAAACCTCATAATTCAAAAAAACAGTTTTATTTTTTCAAATAATCCTAGATATAACGGGTTCAGTAACATTCAAACATTACTTTCTCGATGAAAAACATACTGATCCCACATATTCCACTTTCAAAATACATAAGATTATTGCACCAAGTGATTGGGAAGACGATCTTAATGTAAATTTAAATTTTCCTAAAAATCTCAAAGATCTCGCTTGTTACGATGCCCCATTTCATTGGGACAACTGTCAAGCATGGTATAATACATTCCTGATCCAATCTCCTAAGCATAAACATACCTGGTTAATATTTTTTTGACACAACATGTGACCTTTCAAAATCTCCCTACTAGTTCATCCCATGGTGAAACTATTTCTGTTCTGTCACATAAATTTTCAAACCACAAATACAAAAATCTTTCAAAATCTTTAAAAGCACTTTCATACCATCTGAGGATGAAAAGAAATTTCCACCGTTTTTTTTTTCATTCCAAATTTTATTTTTCTTGAGTTTTCTCTTGGAAAGTAGAATTTCCTTCTAATTCGATTCCTATAATTAGGTGTAGGTTCAGCGTTAAATGGTGGGACAAATTCAAAATTCCTTCAAAACTTATATATACGTGACTTGATAAAAATTCTAAATTACCCAAATCTTGACCCAAACACCAAACTAAACACCATAAACAACCAAATGTTTGGCCCAAAAATCCAAAATGTTGTCATTATTAGCGGCTGTAAAATCCGAGGAAGAAATTAAGGCGAAAATTCTCAAGCTTCGGAAAGCGAGCCGTACTCTAACACCCAAGAGATTGATGACGAAATTTTTGGAAATTATAATACAAATCTACCGACAAATACTGTTACAAATATTTTCAAGATGAAGACGAAGACAAATCTCAACAAACATTGTTATGAATATTTTGAGTACAAATCCTGTGTTACGAATCTCTATCGACAATCTTTTGTCTCGATACAGAACAATTGTCACGATAGATGAAGACCAAATTACCTTGGTGGAGACAAACTTTTGCTAGTGAACTTAATGGAGTCAACACTCTTGAGTGGAGTTATGCACATTTTATATATTTTTAAAAATTATGTTATTTCACCTACTTGTAAAACTCCTATATAAAGGAGTCTCATTTGTACACACACCTTCATTCTCTCGTTCTCCCATTCTCACATTCTCTCACATCCAATCCCTCTCTAAACCATTATTTCACCCATCTCCCTTATTTGGAACTTTGTACGATTTTCCTTTTGTATGTTATCTTTTAAGGTATCTCTATTGTATTTTAATAAAGGGCTGTCTATAGCAATCCACATACAGTAAAACCTCTATATATTAATACTCGATAAATTAGTAATCTCTATAAATTAATAAATTTGTCCGGTCTCGAGTTGAGACCAATATAAAAAATGACATAAATCGATCTCATAAATTAATAAGATAATTGTTTTTTTTTTAATCCTATGTAAACATATGATCCCATCAATTTCATAAATTACTAAATATACACAATTATCAATATATATATATATATATATTATATAACTTAATATATATATGATATTAATTTATATATGTCATATATGAATTACTATGATATATTTATATTATTATATGTAAAAAATTTAATGAAATATCATTCTATTATTTGTTTGTTTTTCTTAAATTTGTATTAATTTTTGGTAAATTTCATTTCTAATATTTTTACTTGATCGAAAAAAGTTTATGTTGTTTTCTAAACTTAATAACTTTTTTTTTTCTACTTGTAATTGGTTAAAAAAGATATTGTTTATAAAGAAAAAACTGTTTTTCAGATAGAATTTTTTTAAAAAATTATATAGTTAGTAAAATCTCTCTATAAATTAATGAAATTTCTCGGTCCCAACATTATTAATTTATAGAGGTTTTATTGTATACTATATCTGTTCAACTAGAATTATCATGTACTTTTGACATCTACACAATTTACCATGAACTTTTCTTTTTCTTCCTAATTCCAACCAAAATATAAAATTCTACCCAATTAACCAAATTTAATTAATTTCTGTAATTTTGATTAAAAATAAATAATTCGCATTCACTATTTCGAGATTTGAGTGAACCCGAGTTTAAAATCTTTGTAAAATAACATGATAAAAACACATTTAAAAGCTTGGCTGAGTCAAGATTTTTCCAAGACATATATTTCTAAGCTCGAACCAACTGCTTTTCAGGGTTGGATCGGGCCAATCCGCGGGCTTTGGCCCTAATTGACATGTCTACCAATACCAATGCATAACTTAGATTTCTATTGATACCGTAGTTGTTAATCTCAAATTCGGATCAAGTGACCAGATAACTAGAACCAAATAATTTAGTAAGAACATAGATCATGGTTTTCTATAAAATTAAGATTTGTAAACTTTCACAAAAAATTTAGAATGTTTTCGTCATTTTGCGACATATTTATTAATCGGAGCCAATATAACTTATGTCATGTCGGTACAACAATAATTAATCTGAAAAATCAGACCAACCGACCAAATTACTAAAAAAAACAAAACTCGATGATCATGGATCAGTTCCATAATTTGTTGTTTCTCTTAGTCTTAGATATAAAAAGGGAAATTACAAGCACATAGATAACACACGTTGCATGGAGTATACATACTCACCAAACTTATTTACACAATATAGAGTTATTATTAATTAGTTCGAAATTATTTTATCAGCGGAGAGTTTTCACTTCAACCTCTGCATCTGTAGTACTTGGGGTGACCACGGTGGTACCTGTTCGATGGAAGAGGCAAGGCTCTTCCTCCACTACCGGAAGCTGCCGGAGCCGCCGTGTCATGTTTGAGAGCTCCATAGTTGAGATACCTCACCTTACTTGTCAACATCATCCCCTCACCATTCGATGATGTCACCACATCCTTAGTTTCTTCATCTTCTTTTAGGATAAGTTTGTTCACCTCTCCATCTTCTTCATCGCTCTCGTAACGTTCTTTCACCCACGTGTTCTTCACGTGATGATTTCTCGATACACGTTCTTCGTCGTTTTCGGTAAATGTGTAGTACTCCATGCTTGATGTTTCTTTGTGCTTTGTGTTATATATTTATAGTGGAAGATTTGTGTGTGTTACTTGTAATACTTAAGCGAATCTTTTTTACTTTCGTAGTAGAAGGATATACATTATATAGAAAACAATATATTAATCTTTCTCCTTTCCGAAAAGTGTATTCGAGCAAAGAAAATAATTAAATAAGTAGTACCGTATGTGACTTTTCAAGAATAATATAGAAAGCAATATATTAATCTTTCTCCTTTCCGAAAAGTGTATTCGAGCAAAGAAAATAATTAAATAAGTAGTACCGTATGTGACTTTCAAGAATAATATAATATAATTGAAAAAAATGTAAAATAACACTTTGTAAAATATACAAAGTCGGAATTGAATAATACTTTGGCAAATTCGGATTTTTTTGATGATGCGAAGATATCATTATCTCTTAGAATCTTATTCCAAAATATGAAGTGAGACGATGACTTACGATTCTAAGAATTCATTTTGTGCCTACTTAGCTGATGTCTTAAGCAACGGCCCATCTTACACAGCTGGTGAAAGTATAATAAGGAACTAAAATAACAAATGCGGTTAATATAAAATAAAACAACAAAATAAAATAAAAGACAGATGCTTATACATGTGGGTTCTTATGATGTGTTGAACGTTTTACTAATTTTGTGTGACAAATGATTCATATATTTATAACAATTAAAAATAAAAATAAAATGAAAATTGTGGAAAATTTTATTTTTCATTTTTAATATAAATATAACCAATCAAACTTTTATTTCAAAAAAAAAATCACAACAAAAAATTGTACAACAACAACAACAAAAATATAAACCTAAAATTTATAGCAAAAAAACCTAGAGTTACAAATTTAACCAATTACTAGAGATTATGATTATTTGTCGTTGAACTATTGGTTTCCTTCTTCTGTGTTTGCTTCTTCCATCATATTCTTTTATACCCATACTGTTGTCATATGATCAATGGACATCAGAATTTCAGATTCATCATTGCCACAACCTATAATATTTTTAAAAGAACCCATAACCAGGAGTGACTTGTGAGCCACCTAAGCCGAAGAAGGATACACTTGGAGCTTCAAATGTTTCTATATATTTTAAGCCCACTAATATTACCAAAAGTATCTTTTGCTAAATTCGTAAAAATTATGGTTTTGATTGGTAACGTTGTATCGCCCTAGTACAACATGTGGGTTTGATTGGTTAAATTGTATCACCGTAGTTTAATGTGTAAACCATTAAGTGAAGCCATATGTAGACGGTGTTATAAAAAGGTGATAACGGTACACCATTTCTTACTACTATCTAACTTTCAAATGTATTGCCATCTCTTACCGGCTACTATTTCGTACCACCATCTCTTTTTTTCCAGCAATCAATAGTTATGGACTTATGGGCTAAACATTTTCTTTGCTTGGGGCCAACATATTATTAGAATCGGCTCTCCGGTGACACACTGACACTGAAACGTGAACAATAAGAACCGAATAGAGTGGTGAAAAAGAAGAAGAAACGGAACCGAGTGTTAAGTCGAAATGTAGAAAGTTGTATTACATAAAGACACAGGGAGTCTCTAACAAGTTAATTGTCTTGACCTCTTCTTACTCCCTTTTTATTCAACTTTACTAAACAAACAACAACTAAATAAAATTCAATCTAAACTTACACATAAATCACTCTTTAAACAGGCCAAATTCAAATCCAGATATCGGAAGTGCAGTCTCCACCGGGATATCTCATCTCGTGGGCTAGTGCAGGACCGTCCGGTTCATCACCAAAGTCAACAAAGAAGTCAGGGTTTATGGTGAGACCACCTTTCTCTGTATCAACATCAATCTGAATTATGTGTGAGCCTTTCTCCATGATTTCCGGGTAAAACTGACGATCCCATGAGCTAAACAGCGAGTTAGTTGCATACAATCGTTTCCCATCGAGGCTCAGCTGGATCATTTGAGGTCCTCCTCGTAGAGAGTTACCCTGACATCACCAAAACAGCTTCTATATTATGTAAAAAAAAATGTGAAACTTAATTAAATCCTCAAAAGATTACATTTTGGTACAAACCTTGATCTGAGGAACATCAAATTGGAAAGTGTTGCCGTCTTCTCCAACCGCCTTAACAGAACTGCCCTTTTGTAGTAATCCTCCGACCCAAATTTGTCCTGTTAAGACAGGGTTTTTAGGGTCCTCAATGTTGTACTGACGAACGTCTCCATGGAGCCAGTTCACAAAGTAGATGAATCGGTCATCGAGGGAGATCAAGAAGTCGGTGATAAGCCCCGGCATTTCTGGAAGAATCCAGTTTTCTACTTTCAGCGGTTTAACTGATATAACCACCTAAAAACACCAGTTCGAATTACAGGTTAATCACAGATTTGGAATAGCAAACAAAAAAAGGGAAAGGAGAAGGAAGATTCAGAAATTCCACTTGCCTCATGGTTCCATGTTTCATCACTGTTCTTGAAAAATCTTATCATATTACTTGACAAGGCACTCCCAACAAACCCTGTATCTTTAGCCGGATCGTGCAAGAATCTAATCTGCAACCACATAGAAGTTAAGACAACAACCGGTTCATTCCTTTCATTTATATTACCTGATAAAATATACAGATCACATTTTAAAAGAGATGTTTGATTATGTTACCTCCAAAGGTAAGAGACCAGTCGGTCCAAGGTCAATTAATTGTTTCATTTCACCTCCTGGCCAACTATAAACATGTAGATGACTTCCGTATAAGCCATCCGCAACGTGTTGGAGATTGAAACCTTTGGAGAAGGCTTTAGGTGCTCCCCAAGATGTGCTGATCATGGTCTTGTGCCGAGGTTGGTACCAAAAATCATACCCAAACAAGGGACTGTGTCCTGGTTTCTCCCACCTGAGAAATCCCCCAAAAAACATACACATTAATTCCATTCAAATGCTTCTAACTTTTTTCTTTTGTGTGCACGCGAACACGACATTTCATCACAAGTCCCCGCATTGGCGATATCCTATTCTTTTTCATTTGATAAACTTAACAGTTTTTGTTTAACTTTTACAGTAACAATCACCAACAATGGTATGTGACTACTAGTGATAAGAAACTTAAACAGAATGATTTGTTTTGCAATAAGATACCTATTCTTGATGTTAAAATCAGAGTCAAGAAGAAGAAACCCATTCCCTTGGCGTTCCCCTCTTCGTCCCCAAGACACGACACCAAGATCTCACCCGTAGCAAGACAATGAGCCGTATGTGGAAACGCTAATCCAGTCTTATCAGCAATCTCTTTAGGATCTACATACTTATACAAAGACGGAGCCCTCGGGTTTTCCTTAGTATCAATCGCATAAATACGACCAGATCTTCATCCAAACAAGAAAATTCACTCAATTAAACAAAACTTAACAGAGATATAAGAGAAAATAGAAAAGGCTGAAGAATCTTTACATAAGAGACGGTAACACAAGATAACGTCTATCAGCAGAAGCATCACCATGGCAAGAACTACAAGAGTTCCAACCAGAATGATGAAGCTCATCACCAACAAAAGGCATTGGCAATCTATGAATAACACTTGAATACGAAGGCGAGCTCGTATCCACATCCACCGTCGCCAAATAGTCCGGTTTATCTATTCCAGTTCCTTCAAAAACCCCAATCAAAAAGGTATCAGAAGACAGAGGACACAATCAACACAAAGATTTTCACTCAAAAGACACAAAGACTCCTTCAAAAACAGATCAAATCAAGAAAATAGAAACAGAGAAATCTCTCAAGCTCTTAGTGATTCGATCTGGAATATTCAAGATTCTTAAAAGTAAAGATTCTTACTTAAAAACATTCGATCTGGATTCTGAGATTGATAACAAGAAACAGATAGAATCAAATCAAATGTGTACCGGTGTAAACAGCGGTGACGTAGATAAGTTTCTCACTCGGACCAGACATAGCGGCGAGAGGTGTCGCGTAACCAGGACCACCGTACTTGCAACATCCTTTGCTTCCACCGTTGCTTACCGGAACCACCACTTCCGTTTCCGTCGCCATCTCTCTATCTCTCGGTGATGTCAAATATTGAATTGTGTATATGGTAGTCGTTAAGCTACACGTCTCTCTCTTTTGAGTTTATCGCAAACACACACAGTGACAAGCTGTTGGCTATATAATGCCAGTGAAGTTATATAATGACTCAACTAATCCTTGTAATTATGTACAGATTTGTTTAAGAAAAAAATATTAAATTACTAATTCAGATTACTGCAACAATTAGTAAGTTAAGAGAGATGTATTTAAAATTAAAATACGTCTCCATGCACAAAATGGCTAAAATAAACAATTACAGAATCGTATCCGTTAACAAAATAACAACAAGAAGATAACAATAACAAATCAGATCTTGACCAGATACACTGTATCTGACGTAGTTTTGACTTGGTTCATAATTGGACCTGGTTTTGATCGGTTCAATTCGGTTTTTGATCGGTTACACAAAAGACAGAGACAACATGTACAAGTAGAAAGATTTATTGTCACGGAAGGAGGAGAACAACTTTTATTATTGTCTTGATCACGAAACTAGCCATCTCTTATTTATTACACTCTACCAAAACATAACAATGAATCATAAATCAAGTTTACTCTGTTAAGGAGCCAAATTCAGATCCAGATGTCGGAAGTGCAGTCTCCGCCGGGATATCTCATCTCGTGGGCTAGTGCAGGACCGTCTGGTTCATCACCAAAGTCCACAAAGAAGTCAGGGTTTATAGTGAGACCACCTTTGTCTGTGTCAACATCGATTTGAATTATGTGTGAGCCTTTATCCATGAGTTCCGGGTAAAACTGACGGTCCCACGCGCTAAATAGCGAGTTTGTCGCATATAATCGTTTCCCATCGAGGCTTAGTTGGATCATTTGAGGTCCTGCTCTTAGAGATTTCCCCTGAAATCTCAAATTCAGGTTCAATAGAATGCAAATGGTTTAAACATAGTTGTAACCCTTAAAAGATTACATTTTGGTACAAACCTTGATCTGCGGAACATCGAATTGGTAAGTGTTGCCATCTTCTCCAACAGCCTTATACGGACTACCCTTTTGTAGTAATCCTCCAACCCAAATTTGGCCGGTTAAGACCGGGTTTTTAGGGTCTTCGATGTTGTACTGACGGATGTCTCCATGAAGCCAGTTCACAAAGTAGAAAAACCGGTCATCGAGTGAGATCAAGAAGTCGGTGATAAGCCCCGGCATTTCTGGAAGTATCCAGTTTTCTACTTTCAGAGGTTTAACCGATATAACCACCTAAAACAACACCAGTTTGAATCACATGTTAATCATAAATTTGAGAGAAGAAAAAAGAAAAAGATTCAGAAATTTCACTTGCCTCATGGCTCCATGTGTCATCACTGTTCTTGAAAAACCTTATCATATTGCTCGACAGAGCACTCCCGACATACCCTGTATCTTTAGAAGGATCATGCAAGAATCTAATCTGCAACCACATAACAACAACCCGATAAAATAACATTCTTGGTTACTAACACAGCTCAGCATTCATCAACGTTAATGTTAGGAGTAATGTTACCTCAAGAGGTAAGAGACCAGTATTTCCAAGGTCAATAATCTGCTTCATTTCACCTTCAGGCCATTTATAAATATGTAAATGACTTCCATACAAGCCATCCGCAACATGCTGGAGATTGAAACCTTTGGAGAAGGCTTTAGGTGCACCCCAAGAAGTGCTGATCATTGTCTTGAACCGAGGTTGGTACCAAAAATCATACCCAAACAAAGGACCATGTCCTGGTTTGTCCCACCTGCTTTTGACATTGAAGTCAGAGTCAAGAAGGAGAAACCCGTTCCCTTTGGCGTTTCCTTCTTTGTCCCCAAGGCAAGACACCAACATATCCCCCGAGGCGAGGCAATGAGATGTGTGTGGAAATGCTAATCCTGTTTTTTTAGCAATCTCTTCAGGCTCTACAACCTTGTACAAAGATGGAGCCTTTGGGTCGGTCTTTGTGTCGATTGCATAAATGCGACCAGAACTTCATTTAAACAAGAAAGAAAACATATTTTTAGACAATTCATCATCAAGAAGTGTGAGAGGATCATTGTAAGGATCTTACATTAAGCCTGGTAAGACGAGGTAACGTCTATCAGCAGAAGCATCACCATGGCAAGAGCTGCAAGAGTTCCAACCAGTGTGGTGTAGCTCATCACCTATATAAGGCATTTTTAGTCTGTGAATGACACTTGAATATGTGGGTGAGTTAGGATCCACATCTACCGTCGCCAAGTAGTCCGGTTTGTCTCGCCCCGTTCCTAAATTAACCCAATCAAACAAACCAAAAGGTCTTTGATTACCTAGAGAAATCAAAATTTTCCAACATTCATGAGATTCATATAATAAACTGAAATAATTTCTTGGTTAGTCAGAAAAAGAAAAAGAAAAAAATCATTCCAAAAATAACAAGAAAATGTTGAATAAATATAAGTAGAGAAGATGGTAAAATGAAATGTGTACCGGAGTAGAGGGCGGTGAGATAGATGAGCTTTTCCCGTGGACCAGCCATGGCGGCTAGAGGCGTAGCGTAACCTGGACCGGACTTGCAACATCCTTTGCTTCTGCCGTTGCTCACCGCCGTCACTACAAGAAAACATGTGTTTTGCGAGGGAAGGATTCCTCGTAAATCCCTCGCAAAACGCTTGTAGCAAGGGATTTGCTACGACACGTTATTCCTCGCAAAACGCGGCTCGCAAATGTAATATCTTGCAATTTCCTCGCAAATTTTGCGAGGAACTTATTCCCTCGCATATTTTGCGGGGACCACAATCCCTCGCAAAATTTATGAGTAGCACTTCCCTCGCAAAGTTTGCTAGGGATTTGCAAGTCTGTTGAGAGTCTTTTTTTGTTTTTTTCATTTACGAATTTTATCCTGATTTATTTTTTTGGTGATTTTAATTTGATTTTCAAAAACATTCAAAAACATTCAAAAACATAAATGAAATCAGTAAAACATTCAATTAACTGCTAAATGATTCAAAAACATAAGTGTACATTCAATGTCTTAAACCAAATCTTAAAACATAGGTGTTATATAAACCAATTTAAAACCAAGTCTTAACACACAGAAATTAAAAAGCTTGTGAAGTAGAGGAGGCTGGTCTGGTACCAGTTCCTGTCTCAGTTTCGCCGGTCTGATCGGTTCCGGTCTGATCGCCTCCGGTCTCGTTGGCCTCCGCTGTTCTTGTGGCGTCTCCATTTGCCGGTTCAGATGGTCCTCGATACATGCCTGCAAACACTGGATCCTTCTCTACGAGGTATTGCCAATAGGCATCGAAGCTATTGATCTTCTCAGCCTGATGTTGAAGACGAGCTTCAGCAGCAGCAAGCTTCTCCAATAGAGCCTCTCGATCATTATGAGTAGGCAGTGGACCAACATGGACTGAGGATGCTTCATTCTGCAGAGAACCAACCCCATACAACCTTCCTTTCTTCCTTGGAGCAACCTGATACAAACCACACAAGTATAATGAGTGGACTGCCAAGAGACTAAGTACTAATGAAATAATCACACAAGTATATAATGCTAACAAGTATGCTGCTAACATCATCACACAAGTATGCTGCCAACATCATCACATAATCACATAATCACAGAACACACAAAGACAGCACACAAAGACTAAGTACTAATTAAAGACACTCTGAATTGAAATATACAGAATTACCTGAGCATAAATCTTGTTCTTGGCAGCCACTGATAATCCACCTGAAGCAGAGCTCTCTGTATTATCCCCTGTAAACAGCTGAGACTCCTCCTCTTCAATCCTTGATGACACTTCCTTGTAGATCTCCTCTGACTTTCTATCAATGAAAGTCCCATCAGGTTTGCGATGAGTTTGCTCAAGAACCACCAGAAAATCTGGAGTTGAATCACCAGTCTCCTCACACTAAAACAAAAGAAAAAAAGTTAAGTGTCAGTTCAATATGCATAAGTATATGTATGAGAAAGAAAACAGAGTTAACTTACATGCTTTCTGGCACGGGATTTGAAAGAGGTCTGGCCAGAACGGTGTTTAGATATACCAAGGCCATCGGGATCATGATATCGGGCATTTCTACTGTTGATACTCCTAATTTCTGATTTAGGATCACGCCAAAAACGAACAAGTCCAGCCCACACTTGAGGATCAATCCATTTAGGCTTTGCCTCATCACCTATATTCTTCCACTTTCCCTTCCACCGAGAAACTTGATCAGACATCCTATCCTTCAACTTGTCCTCAAACTCATCTCTAACTCTCTCATTTATGGACTTGTCCCAGTTGTACATTTGCTTCAAAATAAAAAACAGAGTCAGAAATAGCATCAGTGTATCACATACATTTGTAAAGTAAAACAAAGCTAAACTAAACAATTTTACTTACCGCAAAAGTCTCATACCAACGATTGACCACTGCATCAGGAGTCTGTGTCCAATTGGCATGAGGTTCCTTGAAATCTCTTTCAAAAATCTTGCGGACAGAAGCTGCAACTGAAGTATCAATGTCAAACCTACAACAAAAAAATCAATTACAATGAGAATCTACATTATTAAAATACAATGAATCATATATACAAACCTAAGTAGAACCAAAACTGAAATTAAATTTAATGTAGAACAAAAATCATCCTTACCAGAGAGTTCCCGGAGGACGATTTGGATCTAGTCTCTGAAGAGACTGACGCCCCGGACTGTCAAGTGTGGATGTCGGATTCGCACACTTGAATATTTGTTTAATTAGTGGGAATGATTATTCTTGAGGACAAAAATATGATGAAAAAAAGCTATCAATTGCAATAGGAATGACTATAGTGTATTTGCTAGAAAAATTGCGTATGCTTTACATGGCTATTAGCCCTCTTATTTATATTGACAAACGACATTTAACTCTCAATTAAACACAATTATTCTCTCTTAAATGTGTCCGTTTTGGTCTTCGAGTTTTAATGCCCAACGTTTGAATTTGAATTGACTCTGATCTTCATGGGCTTCGCCTTTTGGCCCAAGTTATCCGACTTCGATTCCGAGTCATATCCCGAGGTGTGACCACTCCGGGCTCTCTTTATGGTGACGCCCACTTCGATTATACCCTGTAAACCATGGGCCTAATGGGCCTTATCCTCTGTGGGCCTTTATCCTGATTACATGGCAATCTTTGGTTGGTCCCGGTCTACTGGTGCGGGATCCGACACCAACAATTAGCCCCCCAAGTCTTTCGAAGTGCTTATTCCAATTCGGAAGGCTTAATCGTCTTAAATGACCAAAGATTGCGCCCGTGGGATCTTCTGGTTTTCCCGCCAAGATTTCGTCAATCCTTTAATTTCGGTATTACCCATATTTGATCGCGTGACATCTGTCGCCATCATGACCGTATCTTAATTATTTACTATTAAAACGGGGAAAAACCTTTCCACTTCCCCCACGACTACCGAGGCGGTTCCATCATTACCACTTAGTTTGCGTGAGGTAACCTTTTTCATCTTTATCTTTTGGTAAAAATTTTCTTTGTTTTTCCCTGCCAAGTCTTTCTGTCTCTTTCGCCAAACTTTCTCTTCTGGAACTTGAGTTTTCCATTTCCTTCGATGTCTTCCGATTCCGACAGACCTGAGTCTCCGTCTTATGACGGGAAACGTTCTAGCCTTGATGATTGCACTCGTCCTAACGATATCGCCGGTCCTCACTACAGATCTACTTGCACTATTCAATCCCTTCAACGATTGAAAGAACTCTGCCGACTTCCACCTGAAGTCATGGCAGGATCGAAGTTCGCCGATCCTACGGAATCCCCGGAGGATCATCGTGATGGTTATTTCTGTGTATACGAGATTTATTTCAAGGGTTGTGGGCTAACATTCCCTCTTCCTGAAGCTTTAGTCCGGTATTTAGCGGCTCTGGAAATTTCTCTTCCTCAGCTGACCCCCAATCTCCTTCGAACCATTCTCGGGATCATAACCGTTGCGGCGGAGGCTGGATATATTATCGGAGTTCCCGAGCTGAACGAACTTCTAAGCGTGAGGAGTTCATCAAAGAAAGCGGGGTATTTTTCGGCGTATCCGAACGCCAATAGGAACATCATCTCGCATCTCCCGAACAAGGATGAAAACTGGCACCATCCTTGGTTCCTGATTAAGAAAACTCCTGCTTCGATCGGAAATCTCTCCGATGTACTTCCATCGAAGTGGTCTGCGAAGCCCGGTAGAAATTAGGTTGCAGATAGTTCTTTTAATCACCCTGTTATTTTACTAATTAAATTCGTTGTTTCACTGTGCAGCCTTCATCGCTCCAACTCTCCCAACTGAGGAATTCGTCAGATTCTTCAAAATCCTCCTCGAAGGGGAAACCCTTTGGAATTCTTTCACCCTTGACCGATTCATAGAAGCCAATCGAAAACTCAGGATGAGCCCTCCTGGTCAATTTCAACGCCTTCCGCCTCCTCCCCCGTCTCAGGGTATGTCGGCTCGGGCCCTTGCTGCCCAACGCAAGAAGCTTTCTACTCCGATCACAAAGGCTTGTGACGAGAACAAGGCGTTGCTCGCGGCCGCCATTGACAAAAAAGATTACAGTCGGTCATTGTTAGTCGACGACGGTACCGCCGAAGGGGCCAGATCTACGGGTGCCTACAGGCTAACGCCTCGTCGTGAGCGCCATGGTGACCGTTCTCCTCGAAGAGCCCGGTCTCCTCGTCATGATTCTTCTCGACCTCCCCGAGATGACTTTAGCAGCGAACCGCTTAAGAATTTGATTCGCAAGAAGAGAGACAAATCATCTCGCAGTGACTCTTCTCCACAAAGAGAGAAGTCGAGGGCCCGGACTGAGCGTTCTCTTCGTTCGTCCCCTCCTACTGAGCCGATGGGTCCTTGTAAGGTCCCGTCCCCGACTAAGTTAAGTCCGGAGAGGTTCCCTAGAACCGATCACTACTTGACCCGATCCTTAATCCGATTTTAGGGTCCATTCCTTATAACAATCGTTTTTAAGTCATATTCCGTGATTCATTACTTAGAGTCTATGTGTATTGATTAGAGTCTATATGCGATCGTAAAGTAAACAAACAATCCGGATACTTTATTAATAAGTAAAAGATTCAGTACAACTTATGAGTTTGCATATAAGCTATTACAAGTCGTACAATCGATCCTATCTACCCGGACTTTATCACCACCCATCTTCCCGGCCTTGAGTCTCTCGCGCCTAAGCCAATCCCTTCCCACGATCACCATCTTTTCCTGAAAACAAAGGGGCGTAAGTAATCGGATATACTCTACGAATGCAAGTCCATGCAATGCACCCTAAATTCCGATAATCACTTAGTTCGGGAAACGGACTAGAGAGAGGAAGTAAGCGCATCAGTTCGGCCTAGAACCGGTAGATCCGTGCGGATCCGCCGTTTCCTTGCCGAGCCGCATCCCCGTCTCAGCCAATCCGTCACTCCGGACCAAGTTATGCACCGAGTATGAGTATGCTTATGAACCGTTATGCAGAACTATGTGTAACCCATAAGCCCCTAACGACCCATAACATCCATACGATCGGAGATCACCAAACCGGCATTATCCTACGGATAGCCTACCTCCGACGAATCTCAAGTCTCAAATCGGAAACTTCTTATGATCGTTTTTCTCTCCAAGATGGCCTGGAGATTATGCGGTATGTTTCGGTGTTTCCGTGTGTGTCGAAAATGCGACCCAAAGACTCGTATTTATAGAGTTTTCGGTCCAAAACCGTTTCCAACCGTTATACCCAAAGATGCCTCTTCGCACATAACCGTTTCTTGACACCCATTCGGTCACGTGTGGTAACCGACACCCTTGGCAACCGTTCGGCTAGTAGTCACTCGGTTAGCTGACCTTCACTCCGTTTAGTCTAGCTGAGCTCCCATGTAGCTGGTCCAGCTGACCCGAGCTACCGAATAACCGTCCCAGCTGGTTAGCTCACTTACTTCAGCTCAATATACTCCGATTGACTTCCCCGAGCTGATGGGCAGCTCCTTTTTAGACTTATCCGAGATTCCTACTTTCTTCCCGGACTAAGTCTCATCCGGCGATCCTATTAAGGATCGCGGACGCTACAAGTCTCCCCCCCTTGAATGGGATTCGTCCCCGAATCCAACTCAAGTTCCTCCTTTCCCATCTCCTTATACCATTCGGAAAAATCGGCCCTAATCTTATTCTCCGTTTCCCACGTAGCTTCCTCTCTTCCTCCGCAATCCCATAGTACTTTCACCATGTTAATTCTTTTTCCTCGAGTACCTTTCTCCATTCGGTCAATGATCCGAATCGGCTTTGCCTTTACCGTCAAGTTCTCTTGTAACTCGGGAGGAACGTCCGCAACGGCCTCATCCCGTTCACTTAAACATTTTCGGAGTTGCGACACGTGAAAGACCTTGTGGAATGCATCCAACTTCGGCGGTAGTTCGAGTTTGTATGCAACCGGACCAACTCGTTCGATCACCTTATATGGCCCCACGTACCTTGGGCTTAACTTCTTCCTTTTGGAGAATCGGCCATCTCCCTTATAGGTTACCGCCTTTAGATAAACTAGATCTCCCACCTTAAATTCCAACTCCTTCCGACGCTTATCCGCATAACTTTTCTGTCGGTCTTGTGCTTCCTTTAACTTAACCTTAAGGAACTTCATCTTTTCATTCGTCTCGTCTACAATCTTCGGACGAAACAACATCCGTTCGCCCACCGGTGTCCAACATAAAGGCGTTCGGCATGCTCGTCCGTATAACGCTTCGTAAGGCGACATACCAATGCTAGCTTGATAGCTATTATTGTATGCGAACTCTACTAACGTTAAGTGTTTCTCCCAACTTCCTCCCCAATCAAGTGCACATGCTCTTAGCATATCCTCTAGGGTTCGGATGGTTCGTTCGGATTGTCCGTCAGTTTGTGGATGGTACGCCGTGCTCATATTCACCCTCGTTCCTAAGGCCTTTTGGAAAGCCTTCCAAAAATGTGAAGTAAATCGGGTATCCCGATCCGACACAATACTCACGGGAACTCCATGTAGTCGAACTATTTCTTCGATGTACTTTGCCGCAATCCGTTCGGCTCCGTCCGTTTCTGAAACCGCAACGAAGTGGGCCGATTTGGTCAATCGATCGACCACTACCCAAACCGCGTCATGTTTGGCTGAACTCCTTGGCAATCCGGTAACGAAATCCATCGTCACGTGATCCCATTTCCACTCCGGCATGGGTAAACTCTGAACTAGTCCACTCGGGACTTGGCTTTCCGCTTTAACTAGTTGGCATGTTGGGCACCGGGCAACCCATCTCGCTACGTCCTTCTTCATCCCTACCCAATGATAGTATCTTTTAAGGTCGTGATACATTTTGTGTAGTCCCGGATGAATGGAGAATCTAGATTGATGAGCTTCCCGAAGGATTTCATCCTTTAACTCCTTAATGTCCGGAACGCATACCCGACCATTAACAATAATGGTGCCATTGTTAGAAGTTTGATACTCCGTCTTGTTGTTTTCCGCCCACTTATTCAAATCTTGGTCCCTTTCTTGAGCCAAACGGATCCTACTAAGTAAATCCGCTTGATCCGCCGCACCCAATCCCAAGGGTTCAAACTCCTTTGACAATGCATTTAAATGCAAAGTCCCCATCATGTTGATCAAGGCTTCTTGATTTTTC